CGTGATAAGTGCTTAAATGTTACACATTTCAGCACCTAAGCTAAGGTATTTCAGTCTTTGCATCTATCTTAATTTTATGTTTTAGTCCTAATTTATGTTTATGTGTATTTCAGGGCAATAAAGTTAAAATGAGCTAAGAACGGTCCAATTAAGCCTTTTTGGAGTTAAGCAAAGATTTTCAGACAATGGCACAAAGCGGTCAATTTCGGGCCTTTGATGATGTTCCCAAAGATGGAGAAGCAAACCAAATAGCCCGGGGCAAAAATGGAGCTGAATAAGGCTTAAAAGAATTTGTCAACTCTGGGGGGATCGATCCCCATGGTGGGGGATCGATCCCCCAGGACTTAGCAACATTATAGTTTTTATTTATTGGGCTTTTATGAGATTGTTACTTAAGGCCCAGTGAGCCATTAGATTAGGGTTAGTTTTAGTTTTTATTTAGATAAAGATTATTAGAGAAATGAATTAAGTTTTATTTTATTATTTTTTTTTTGCTGTATCGTAGTATCGTATTTTCTCTCTGGAAAAACACGCGAAAAAAGGGAAAAAGCAAGAACAGGCTAGGGTTTGGAAGAAAAGTTCAGAGAAGATGAAGCAGATGATGGGGATTGTCCTGTCTTCGACTCCATCAACCATGAGTGGCTGATTCTTCTACTTAGGGTTGGATAAACCCTAAGGATGTAACCTATTCTCTCTCTCTTTTCATACTTTTTGGGGATTAATTTATGTAATTAGTGTATAGTCTTGAATATTATGAATTAAATTCTTCCAATTGATTATCTGTATTAATCTCATATTGTCTTATGTGTGGTTGATTGATAAACAAATTTTACACATGAATTCTTTGTTAATTGATTCTTGTGATGGCTATGCATAGTATTGCTTAGTTGTAATTGTGTTTCAAATTGATGAAAAATGCTTCCATTTGATGGATGGTACTACATGTTTAGGTTAATTTGTTGTCTAATTAGTTTTAAATTCATGTTTAATTAGTTTAATTTAAGTTTAATTAATTTAATTGCAATTCAATTATTAGGTAAGTAGACCATCCATACTTATGTTTGAATTCCATACTTTTTGTCACAATTGCATTATCTTCTAGATTAATGTGTGTTAAATTTGTAACTTAGATTGATAAATCATGCTTTGAATGGGTGAATTGCACTACACTTAGTTTAATTGTCATTAGGTAGTTGATTCATACTTGAAATTGATGGTTTACACTTTTCATTGCACTTGTTAGCCACATATAGATTGCATAGTATTATTTCCCCAATTAGTTGAAAGTGAGTGAGTTAGGGAATGTGGTTAGTGGTGAATCCTACACCCTAAGTCTCTTTCCAATCTCTTAAACTCTATTTCTTTATTGCAATCATTTAGTTTAAAATTAGTTTTGATCACAAACAAAACCCTTTTGGCAATCACATAAGCATTAAAGTAGAATTCAATTCTGGAAAACCTATAATTGTTTAGATCTCTTGGGACGATCCCTGCTCACTTCATACTCCATAGTATAAGTGTTTAGTGGTTTTATAAATTTTAAAATATGGTGCCCACTTGACATTATTTCTAAACCTAAAGTATTGTGCATTATTTTGTGCAAACGCTCGGTCGCACCATAGTTTTGGCGCCGTTGCCGGGGATCTAACGGTTTTGAAGAATTGAATGAAACATTAGTTCTTTGTTGATTGTCTACTTTTAAGTCATTTTAATTTTTAATTTTTTTATTTGATTTGTCAATTAGGTACTTGAAGCAAAGTGGAGCAAACGCTGGACTTAGAAGTAATTAAAAAAAAATTCCCTAACTCACTCACTTTCAACTATTATTTAATTGGCATTAATGGTTTAAGTGTAATTGGTTTAGTTATTTGATTGGAGTTACTTGTTAGTTTTTTAATTATTTAATTGGCATTAATGGTTTAAGTGTAATTGGTTTAATTATTCTATGTGTGTCTTATTTTATGTGTGTCTTATTTGGTTTAATTGGGTTTACTAATTATTATTTTGTTCAATTAGATTATTTGTTAAGTATTTAATGGTAAATAGGGTAATTAGGTAAATACATCTAATTAGGGTTTTAATTACAGTATAAATTAGGGTTTTATATTATAGCCGTCGTAGGTTTCTACGTTAATTGGATGGGCCGGTTAGGATTGTGAGTTGGACTTAAATGATCCTAAGGTTTAGGAAAACTCTATAAGTATAAGGTAGACGTCTGTGTAGGGTTTTTTAAACAAAGCACACGTTTTGTGGAAGTGGAGAAGGAAAAACGCAGTTTTTCACATTCTGCCAAGGTTTGATCAAAGCTCCAATTCCGCTTCGTCCGTGGTCCGATCGAGCTGAATTTTGGAGGAGAGGTTCATGACTCAGTGACGCACAATCTGAACGGTAGAGATCAGAGTTTGACCTCGGGAACAGTGATTCGTACTCGTGAACAGTAACTAGGTCACACAGGTTTTTTCCATTCTACCCAGATTTCATCAAACATCCGATCTCGTTT